GGCAATAGAAAAAAATTACCTACCTCACCTCTACTAAAACTGGGAAAACTTCCTGGAGAAAAGTGAACAACAGTTGTAGAGTACCTCAGAGTTTTAAAAATGCACTCACATTCATCATTTAGAATTTGAGAAGCTCTCTGAAGGGAAAATCTTCAAGATAAGGGAGATTTAAAAAAAAACTTCTGAAGTTTGTGAAAAAGTGCTATTAAACCGGGAATTCAAAAATCAGACATAGAAACTAAGTAAGGCTAACAAGGAAAAGCAAAAGTAAAGACAAAGAAGAAACATACAATATAAAACTAGTCTGAGTCCAGTGCAAGACTTTAAATCAGGGGAAAAAGTTGATTTAAATACATAGCATAAAATCAAGACGATTTAGACTACATAATAGTACATGGTTAAAATAATGCAAACTGTCATTAAAATAAGCACTAAGCGGTGGCCCAGCAGTTTAGCGCCTGCCTTCAGCCCAGGGCGTGATCCTACAGACCAGGATCGAGTCCCACGTCGAGCTCCCTGCATGGAGCCTGCTTCTCCCTCTGCCTGTGTCTCTGCCTCTCTCTCTCTCTCTCTCCGACTCTCATGAATAAATAAATAAAATCTTTTAAAAAAAAATAAGCATTAAGAATGGACTTGTAAGACTATGTATTGAAGGTGAAAAATGAATAGAATCTTCATGTACAAATTCACTCGATTCTTCATTAGTCACCTCCATTTTCCTAGGGCTTTAATAGTATTCTTAACCCAATATATTTCAAAAATACTTGCTGAAGTTCTATTTAATGCTAGATATTTCAGAATATACAATAATTAGATATGGTCCCTTCCCACAAAAAAAATTGCTTTGTAATTGTAAAGGTAAAACATTTAATGGAAAGGAAAACTTTTCATACACATGTGAAAAGTTAAAGAGCAAAATAAGGCAGATGGAGCCGAAAAAAAAAAAACATAAAGAGTAAAAGCTACAACAGTCCAGAGAAAGAAGAGATCACTATGCAATGATATGCTTAGGAAAGGCTCTGAAAAAATAAAGAGCATAGGCATTTACAATGGGCCTTCAGGAATTGGGTAGTGGGTGAGATTTGAACAGAGCTAAGAGAAGGCATTCAGAGCAGAGATATGAGGCTGAACAAAGGTATGGGGATGAGATAATGAAGGTGCTTTAGGGAGAGCAAAAATCAAGTAGGATTGTAATAAAAAATAAATGAAAACACGGGATATAAAACGTAAGCCAAGACTGAGATGTGAAAGGCTTTGAATGTCAAGTTGAGGAGCTTGAACATTTTCTGTACGCAATCTGTAAATAAACAAAATTTCTGGGTAAAAGAGTGATATAATGAATATAATATTTTAGAAATATCAACCTTGTTTTTGACACGCATAATAAGCAGTATACAAAAAGTAAGGCAAATGGTAAGATTCCAAGGTATGAAGAACAATCCTATTTTTCTTTCACTGTTACCATGTTTGTATGAAATTCAAGCTGCCTAAACATAGAGTAGAATAGATTACTGTATTAAAAGAGTAACCAAAGACTCTCCCAAAGTGATACATAAACAATGGTTTTAGAAAGTAGAGAAAATGCAATTGCACTAAAGCTTAGAAAGTATTTGGAAAATATAAGCCACATGCCTTGTTAATTGCACTCTTAATTCAGGGGGGAAACAACAACAAATCATATCAAAGTGGCAATATGAATGAATTAACCATAAAAGTGTATTTTTTACCCACACTGGAACTATTGGTTCATTTCACTGTTAGCATGTAACACAACTTAAGTTTGGTCTCTTCTCTCATTACCACAAAAAAAAGTAAGCCCCCCTATGCTCTCCATCTCCATTCCTTTTTCTTTTTTTTTTTAATTTTCATTTATTTACAATAGTCACAGAGAGACAGAGAGAGAGGCAGAGACACAGGCAGATGGAGAAGCAGGCTCCATGCACGGGGAGCCCGACGTGGGATTCGATCCTGGGTCTCCAGGATCGCGCCCTGGGCCAAAGGCAGGCGCTAAACCGCTGCGCCACCCAGGGATCCGTCCATCTCCATTCCTTAAAGACAATTCCCTTAATCCTCTCAGACAATTCCCTAATTCTCTTTTCTTCTATATAAATTTGTCTCACTGAATCTTATTCACTCCTTAATTGCACTTTAAAATATTAAATTTAGAAATTTTCTGAAATTGCTCTTAATAAGTAAGATCCTTAGCCTTTATGTAGTGCTAACTGACAAAATATTTTACACACATTACTTCTTAAAAGCCTCACAGAAGCAATGCACAATAAGTATTATCATCATCCATATGCTATATAGAAGCAAGCCCAGGGCCACACAATTATAAGTGATAGAGCAAGGCCTGCAACACAGGCTTTCTAAGTCCAAATTCCATATTCCCTTCACTATAGCATTCAACTTCATAATGTGCCAAAAGGTGTATCTTATTTCCCAAAATGTATTTATTACTCTGTACTATATTTAAGTCAATACATCTTGTTTTTAATAAGGGGCTTATGCCCAAGAGCCTATTATGGGGCCATTTACTAAGAAGACCTAATTATGTTTAAGATGTTCATGATGATGATGATAATTGTCACTGGGTGAAAAGTGATAACTAAAGTATAATGTTTGCAAAATTGCTAAGACTATACCAAAAACATTTTTGCCTTAAATTCTATAGTGCAACATGCAACAACAAAGACAATATGGGTTGATTTAAGGATATGTGACGATCAAAGGGCAGAAAAGGCCTTGAGTATATTGAAGGCCTCAAATACTGATATATTTCAGAGCATCTTATTACCAGGGAGACATAAATCAAAAGGAGCTCAGCTAGGAGTAATAAAACAGATTAGTGTCTGGAAGTACAGACTTTAAAGAAAGTTTTAAAAAACTAAATCCAGGTAGTCTAGATTTAAAAAAAAAAAACAGCTTTGAGGAAACTATTTTTTGAAGCTAACACACCAAAGACAGAATTATTTTGAAGACAGATGTTTTTAAAAATGCAAAAAGGAAATAACCGTAAATATTTGAAGAATATTTATAAAGGGAAAATTCAGGATAAATATGCTGGCAAAAACCTATGGGACAGAGACCTCTCTCCCACAAGTGTGGTAAAAACTACATTCCTAGAGATATCTAATACCAGGTTGGACAAAACAAGAAAAGGATTCCATATGGAAGGATCCTATACTAGCCCCTGAAGTGGTGGGAGGATTGAAGATGACCTCTTAGATCTTTTCCATTTCTGATTTTTTTGTTGTTTAATTCTATGAAGTTTTATAGGGCACAGCCTTCTGCCAATTTCCTTTTTCCCCATGATGCCCACTTTCTCCTTTCACAAAGGGAAACAAATTGTATGCTTCATTTTAAGCAGATCTCATGTTCTCAATAAATTGGTAATATAATCCTAGGTACAAGTTGGGGGAGAAAAAGGCCAATTCCTGTAATTTATTATGGTCCTTCCCCCCCCCCAGTGGTTCTTGGGGGCTCTTACAAGTTTTTTTCACAAGCCAAAGAAGTGGTAGTTCACATGGATTCCAAGAAGAGCTGTTTCACCAGGAAAACCATTAATATTCTCCCTTCTCTTCTCATGTCTGATCACAGAGCTGACAGTGACCCTGGGAGCTATAAGGCCCTGGGTCAAATTACCATCAGAGCTGCTGTTCAGGATTATCTTTTACCTTTCAACATTTTATGCTGAGTGACAGCAAAATCTATTGCAATCCACATTTTTATGGCAATGACATTTACCTTTGAAAAGACATAGCTTTAAACTCCTATACACTTTGGCAAATGTTGTAAGAGTAAGTCTTATTCACGCTTTAAACTCAAGAAGCCTCAGCCTTGCTCTCTTTCTCCATTCTGGCACTTAAAAAAAATTTTTTTTCCCAGTCATCCTTGAAATAGATCCCACTATCTCTCCAGAATCTCCATTCAGTGAAACTCCAGAATATACATCAGCATTTCCTCATTTTGCTGATTTACAAGACAAGATGTAATAAACTCTATGGAGCTCTAAGAACCTGTCCTTGAGCCCTTTAAAAATAAAACTGAGGCTCACTTATGAAAAGGGACAGCAGGGGAGAGATAACCCTCCAAGAATGGACACCAAAGCCTCTTATACAATCTAAACAGTCTTGGTAGCTGAGGATCCACCAATTACCACCTGGACTATCTAAAAGAAATATGTCTCCCTACCCACAAAGAAGATTCATATATATTAACACTACATCCCTTCAACAAAAATTTTAAATACCATTTTCATTTTTTTCCTAGTAAAAATGAGACTGTTCAAACCTAAAAATATTGGGCTCTAATCATATTGGCATATGATTAGGAGTTTTCAAACCCCTTCCAACACTTAACTCATTTGATCCTGACAAGAATAAAGGCTGGCATTTATAACCCCATTAAAAAAAAAAAAAAAGACGACTCTAAGATTAGGCAGCCTGAAGGAGAACCTCCTGTGGGGATTTTCAAACCTTCACCAACAAAGGTTCAATCTAAAAGGGATTATTCAGAAAAATTTAAAGGGGATTTCACAAGAGACTGTATCATCCATACCCTCACCTCAGGAAAGCAAGAAATAAGAAAAACAGGCACCTTTTTCTAGAATTTTAAGAATGAAACGTGACCCCGACCCATTAGTAGCCTATGAACCTGTCTGACATTTCTCAAGAAACCCACTGCATCTTCTCCCCATTGCACTGGCCACCAACTGTTCCTCCTGCCAGATCTCGGCCTCGGAGCAAAGGCGCGCAGCAAAAGGCCGGCAGCCAGGAGGGGGACGAGCTGGGGACCCCCTCTGCGTAACCACGCCAGGGGTCCCACACTCCCGTACCCCCTCGCCCGCAGCCACCAGCTTTACAGAGGAGCTTCCACCAGACTCTCCTCCTAGCCTGCTACCACCGCCACCCCACCCACCCCACCGCACACACACAGCGAGTGCTCGCTCCTATCCTCAAACTTCCCCCACCCCGCTAGACTGGAAGCAAGTTTCTCACCATCCTCATAGTTTTTGAGATAGTAATCCGGACCGGGGCCCCCACGGCTTTTCGCCGGGTTCCTCAGGTTCTGGAACTGCAGGAAGTCGGTCCTTTTGCCCCCGAAGCGCAGAAAGGCGGGCGAAAGTCCCCGAGCCAGGGTGACCAGACGCTTGGAGCTGCAAGGGTAGAGAAAGAGAGAGGAAAGGATCCGGGGGGAAGGCGAGGGGGCGCGAGGCACCGACCAAGGCCCTCTTCCCTCTCTCCGCGAGCGACCTGGCGGAGGCTGGAGGCGGCGTCCCCCCCACCCGCCACCCGCGCGGGCCCGGCATCTCGCGTGCGCCCGGCTCCCCGGGCTACGCCTCCTGCGCCCGGGCGGCCACGGCCCCCTCCCTAGACAACCCGACGCCGCTCGCCAAAGGTACTTCTTTCCAAACGGTTAGTCTGTTTGTGAACACAGCGCGGGGGGGGGGGGTGCGGGGGGGCACTTTTGCTAGGAATGCGCGGCTAAGGCGCAGTTGCCCAGCTCCTGCCGCCGCCGGGAAAGCGCTCCTGGCGGAGACGCGCAGCGCGCGGACTGCCGGGTCCGACTTCTGCCAAACCTGGAGGCTGAAAGCCGAGATCAGCCTCCGCCGCCGCAGGGGCACCGCAGCCTCTGTGGATAAGGTGAAACCTGCCTCCTCTCTCAGACCAGGTACCTGAGGTCTAGTTTGTGGTGGTGGTGGTTGTTGCTTTCCCTTAATGCTAAAGTTGATTTTCCTTTAACATTATCTTGTAACAACCGCGTCCACTTCCCAAACCCTGGACAAGAGATTCCCGGGATAAATCCTTGCTTTTCTGGGAACTCTCCCCCTCCCTGCCTTGCACGGTAAAAAGCAGTGTCTCTTCGGTCCCTTAAATAATTCAGCCTTGATTTCAGGAAAGGTAACATACTCCTCTCCAACTCTCCGAGTTCAATTCCCATTCTTTTTCATTCCTAACGTGGGGCCCTTTGGAAGCAAGCTCTGGGGAAAAAGTGAAGTTTGCCGAAACATGGAACCTGCTTGTCGGAGGATGTTCGAGGAGCACCATAAGAAAAGCATTTACATTTATTTAGGTTCAGGATTTCCATAAATAAATAGTTTTAAAAGCCAAAAGCTACTTCAGGGCGGGGTAAAGAAGGAGCAGTGCAAATACTCTCAGTACTAAGGCGAGCAACTGTTAAATTCTGGATCTATCAGTTATTTTTAACGCTTTGCTGGTTCAGGTTCTGAAAATCCAAATCCAAATGTAGAAAATACACGGGATCATATCGGAGGTGGATATGAAAGAAAAAAGCCGGGGGCTGCAGTTTCGGAGAGCCGCTGACAAAAGTGGTGACCACCCGGAGGAGCCCAGCGGCCGCGAACATCGTGTAGCCGAGGGCTGCAGGACTGCGTTCTAGGACGCGTGCAGTCGGGGCGTCGCGTGGGCCGGTGGCTGGCAGAGGAGCCGTCCGCGCCAGTACGGCCCCGCACAAAAGGCATTTCCAATAACCGTCCATCCGGAAGCCTGCACAGCCAATGCAAATGCGCCCCGCCACGGCTTCTTCCCCGAAAAACTGCCTTCCAGAATCTTTTTTTTTTTTTTTTTTTTTTTTTTGCACCATGCATTTAACAAGATGGTTTTAAAAAGAAGGAAGGAAAAAAGCCCGTAGGAGTCCGCGCAGCTGGAGTAGTGCTAGGCAAGTGGGGCGTGTATTTCGGAAAACCCCCGTCGCCCCCAACCAACCGCCAAGCCCAGAGACGCGCTCTGCTCCACGACAGGACTTCCGAGGAGGAAGCCGGGCCGCGCGTAGCTCTTCCCGCCTTCCCAGCGGAGGCACCGCCAGGAACTGAAACGGCCGCAGCGGCAGTAGCAGCGGCAGTAGCAGCACCACCACCAGCCACTCCGCGCTCCCGCAATGCTCGCTCCACGTGGAAGGAGCGCTCCACGTGGCGCCTCCCGCTACCTGCCGCGTCCAGTGACCCGGCTGAGGCCCGGGCAGACCGCGGCGCTGAGCACGGCAGCAGCAAAATGGATTTCTCCGGGAGTGAAAGATACTCACGAAAGACGCGCGGCGGACGCGGCCTCCGAGCAGAAAAGCGGGACTGAGAGAGCGCTCGGGGCTCTTCGGGAGAGCCCACAGCTGAGGATCCAATTTGGAGGGAATTTTTTAATAACTCAACACTTCAATTTGACATTGCAGACGATTTATTTATTTTTTTTTTTTACACTGCAACTCTGTCCCTGATGGGAAGGGATCGTAGTTGCCTAACTGCTAACCAGCAACAACCCAGGAAGAGAGTGAGCCCAATTAGATTACAAGCCCTTGAATAAGGGGGTGGAGGAGTCCACGATCACAAACCACCCGGCCGGTTTGGTGATCCGCTGGTGCCGGATTCAGACCTCGGAAAAATCCCCGGAGTATTTCTAGTACCCTTTCGGCTCTCCTTATATACCCTATGACTGGAGCGAGAATTTTTTTTCTTTAAAGAAAAACTAAACTATGCAGTTACCGCAGGAGATTTAAGGAGGAGGGACTGGGGGGCCATTCGGTCTATAAAAAACGTCTAACAAAGTCCTGCAGTCTGGAGAGGACAGCGGAGGATATAAAAGAAAACTTCAAAAATCCGATCCAACCTGCCAATCGCTCAGTCTCTGCTTAAATTCATTTTCTGTCTTGGAGTGGGAGAGAACTGACAAATCGATCTTTCCGTGGAAAATTCCACTTTCGTGCGAGCCCGCTTAAACACTCACATACACACACACAGGCACACACACACGCATACACACCCATTCCTCTCGGGTCTTTGTTGCTCGAGACTTTTTCTTCGCTTTTGTAACTGCCCTGAACCTCTTGTTTCTTTTTCAGAAGGAGACAGGGAGGCTAATTGTGGATATATGTAAGCACAACATTTTTTCAGTCATAACTGATAAGTTTCTGAAATGCCTTCTGCATTGCAAACATGTGCATCTTAATAGAAAACATTGCTTTTCTCAATCACCAGTTAAAGCCTCACAGCAAATATTCCAGGAGGAGGAAAACCTCTTTTCTTCTCTTTGTGAGATCCGCTTGATTTTCTTCTTCTTCTTCCCCCTTTGGAATGGGGGATAGGAAGGGGTGGGGGTTGTTACTTAAAAAAAAAAAATCATCCATGGAAGCCCCTGCCTTACCTTAAGAAATCGAGCCAGCCATCATGAATGATGGACGGATCCAGCTGCAGAGAGAGGAAGTTCTCATTGACTGTCCTGACTGGGTTCTTGGTGCTCACATCAAGTAGAATCAGGGTCTTTTCCTTCAGACCTGGAGCTCTGTCTACAGGCAAGGGTCTCCTGTCTCCAACTTGGGAGGAAAAGGAGAGATGGAACAACAGAGCCAAGAAGAGAGCCACCGGGGCTAGGCACGCAGGGGGGCGGGAGTTGCTGGAGGGCATGGCTTCAGGGAAGGCACAGAGCACCCTCATTAAATCCCTCTGATTTAAACCTCTCTTCCTACAGGGTCTCACTGGTGACTAATTGTCCTTATCTAAAGTGTGTGTCTGTCTGCCTCCCCCCACTTTTTTTTTCCTTTCCCTTTCCCCCCTCTCTCTCTCTTTCTCTCTCTCTCTCTCTTTTTTTTTTTCAGTGTTTTGGTGCTGGTGGAGCGAACTCACGCCCCTAGCCAGCCTTCTCAGTGACTCGTGCCAAGAGTACTCGTTCACCAGCACCGCCCCTTTAAGAGATTTCGACTGCAGACATTTTTTAACTTTTTAAAGGTAAGGGGGTTGTGGGGGGGGGGTGGAGGATAGAGGCGGGAAGTAGGAGGAAGGGGTGGCGTTGTACCCTCCTAATTTAACCCTCTAGGGTCAGGAAGCAGAGAGAGGGACCGAAACTGTACGGTTGTAACGTTTTGGGTACGGGGCGGGACGTCTTGTTTTTACTTCCCTCCCAGCGAGGCTCTGGGGAGGGCCGTTCTAGCTTCAATCCCGACACGAAAGCCCCAGCGCCAGCCCTGGGCGCGCCGGAGTAGAGTGCGCACCCGCCGTGCGCGGGTTTCTCCTGACAGCATCAGGCATTTCTTCCGTTCTGGGCCCTTCCCTGGGAGTTGAAGGAGCAGGAGTAAGAGTGGTTAAGTTGCAGGGGGGTCCTCAGCGGCGACTGTGATTCCTGCCAAAGCATAAGAGTGCAGATGGAGACTTCATGGACACAAGTATGGACCTCTGCTATGCGTAGAGCAGCCACACAGAGCATCCTCTGACCTCAGTAGGGGAAACGGTAGCGAGAAGGAATACAGAGTGACCCGGTCAAAGGGCTTATACACTGGTAGGGGCAAAAGAGCCCAGGTTGGTTGCACGTGGCTCTGTTCTGCCTGCAACCACGGAAAAAATGTCAATATATGCTGACTCAGGACAAGTCAAAGCAAACTGGTCGGTGCTTGGATAGTCTGCGCGGCGCTGCGCCCATCTGAACCACGGCGTGGCCACTCCACTGTGCAAGCCGACTTGCTCTTCCAGGCCCTCCTTGAGGTCGACCCTGGGGTTATCCCTCTTGCGAGGGAAGTGCGCCTTTATAGTGCCAGAAAGGAACAGAGTAACACAGTTGGGTTTTCAAACTCAGCCAGGAGTCACAGCCAGCGTCCACCAGGAGTCGCGTGATGCACCACCCGCCCTGGCTCACCAAGCCCCACCCACACCACCTCTCCAGCGGAGCCATGGATCCCAAATTTAATCAAGGGAAAGAATTCGGGCCCAGTTTCCTGTACTCAGCAAAGTTGAGGCCCCACATTGAGATTCTTTCTGGAACAAAATGGGCCTTTTATTTGGCAGATGAAGATAACTACTTTATGTTTTGTGGGTATGCATGAACATCCCAGGGCCTCCGGATATCAAACATGCAAAATGCAAAGGTTTTCCCCAAAAGTGGATATGCAATGGCAGTCTCAGAGCCCACAAACACTGAAATGGCAACCTGTCTCCCCTCTATACCCCCAGACAGGATGAAGGAATTTGAAAAGGGCTGGAATGCATGACCTTCAACTGAAGTTCTCTGAGGAGCTTCTATCAAACCAAGCAAGTAATATGGAAGTTAGGTTAGACTGAGAAGTGCCACTAAGACCTTCTAGAAGTAGGACTGCATAAAATGAGGACAAAGAAGAAAGAAAATCCAAGGCATATTATTTAAAGATGATTTTAAAAACCAGAATGTTATATGCTGAAGTATTAGATGTGGGCTTCAGCCCTTAAGGCCTGCCCACTTCTTTCCGTTCCTGAAAGTTTCTGACACGCCTAAGTCCTTTAAAATATGTGTGTGTGGGTGTGTGGTATGGTATAAGTTCCCATAGAAATTAACTATAATTTTAAAATGTGCACTGAGCACCTCCTTGAACAGGAATAGCCTGGTGAGCAAAGATTCTTATTTATCTTTGTATCTCCAGACCCAGTCACTTAGCAGGCACTCAATAAATGTCTATGAAATAAATTAATGGTAAATCAAAGCATGCTTAACACACTAAAATCATATAGTGCTTTCAAGAAAAATATGGAAAAAATAAGATTTTTTTTTTTGTCATGGTGAACTGTTTTTTAGGTTTCTGTTCAGTAATTTGTTTTCCCAGCTATTAGCATTTTCCTGGTTACCTCCTTCAGGAAGTACTTATCTTACAAATTCAGAAGCCATTAGTTAGTTCATTTGCTGTATTCAGAATTAAAATCAATTATATATGTTTAACAAGGAGTCAGGTTTTCCAAAGGCCTAAACACCCACTGGCTTACAATTGAATGTACTTTTAGAAGCCACATTAATTGGGACCAGAGGACAACCACATAAATGAAATACGTCACTCACCCAACTAGATGTCTATAATTAATGTACCTTTCAAAAATACCTACTCTTGGGACTAAGGATGAACTTGGGTATAATGAAAATCTGCCTAGTTCTTAATTTTATCCAGGATTTTTGCTTACTTACTCAACTATTCTATAATTGTTTGGTGTCCTAGTTACTTTAATCAGTATTTAATATTCTCCTCAGAACCTGTATAGTGGTACAAAAATCAAAACCAACAAAACAGTGTTTTGTTTTGTTTTTTTTTTTAATTCCTGATGAAAACCATCTTCTTTAGGCCAGCCATTGAAATTCTATAGTCACATACAGCCTCAGGACACCGAGGCAAAGAAAGCCATTTAGTAACATTTAAGGAGTTCCAGATAGCCCTGGTTGACTTCAAGATGACCCGATTGTTTGCTCCTTGGGTCTAGTTTGGATAAAGATCTTCACAAGGCTATTCTTTCCAAATAGCCTCCTCTCCCTGTAACACGGTTTTTGTCTTACTTCCTATCTAATCCTAAATTATATAAGTAGCTCATTATTAATCTGTATATTAGATTAGTTTCTATCCTGGTTTCTATGTGCTGAGTAGCAATGACCTGTATCTCTGTCTGTCTTAAATTGTAATTTCCTAAGAGATAGGAACTGGGGCCTATGTATAAAATGTGAATTTCTGGGAACTAGCTGCATCTCCTTAGAAATTCTCTTCCTGATGTTACCGAATGGTCCTCATAGATAAATTCCTTTGATATCTAGGAGTCTAGGTTCTCACAGCTGTAAGAAATCTTGAAGATTAACTCATTCAATGATTTTCTAGACTATGACTATGGGATTTCAAAATAAACATTAATGGGGAAGAGCTGACATATATTTGTCAACTTATTTTGTCTAGCAAGGACCTTAAAAAACATCTATCAACTATCACTATTATTTCCCAAAAGAAAAAAAATAGCACAAAAAAAAGCTGAGATGGTATGTCAAAAATAAAAACTAAGTGTTTAAATAAATTTAATTTCATGAAAAATCACTATCACTATAATATTTTTTATCATTTCATCTCAGACCAATAGAGATATGCCAGTGACCAATATGGGTACCAGTGCTAATCACTGGGGCTAATGTTACATCCTGTGTTTATGGCCAAATTCTACTTTTTAGTATACAGTATCTTATTTGCTTCTCACTCTAGGATACTATGCCATCTTACTGCAAGATATACATGCTTTTTACATGCTCTCTTTCTATTAAACATTCAGAGCTACAGTCATTTCTATACTTGTTTTCCCCTTCTGGAAGATTTATACCAAGATGTCAAATAGCAAGAAAAAATTCTTGCCACAATAATTGGAACTGGTAAGCATGAAGCTATAGCAGCCAACCTGCTGTCTCATCACTGTGTATGTACTTGTCCACAATGACTACTATTTATTGAGACCTTGTGATCCCATGATGATACTCAGAATTACACCTATATTATTAATTAACTCTGAGAGGTAGGTATAAATTCAGTTATATACCTAGCTTATATATGAGAAAAGTGACTCAGAGATGTTAAGCAACTTCCTCATTATATACTGCTAATAAGTGGCAGCAAGGATTGAAACCTAGGACCTGACTCTAAAGCCTATGTCAGTGTTCTTAACCAACACACTCTACTGTAAGTGGCTAAAATACTGCATACCCCTTAACAATTTGTCATTGTACAGTGGAAAAAACCTTAGACTAGGAGTTGGAAGACCTGAGTTTAAGTCCTGATTTTGCCAGATCCTAGCTTTGTGATCTTGGGTAAATTTTATAACTGTTGTCTCAGCTGCCTACTCTGTAAAACTAATATAATATCCTAGAGTGAGAAGCAAATAAGATTATCTATGGATAAACTGCTTTATGAATTCCAAAATATTATACAACTGTGCTACTGGTTTCTTGTTATCTCTTATTTCTTGTCTTCTACACTTGCCACAAATACATCCCCTTAACTGATGACTGGGGCAAGAATTAAGTTATATATAAAGAACTTTATAAAGTTCTTTAAACTATAAAGTTGAAACAAAAGGTCAATTCTAATACAATGTCAATAAATGCAGTAATAAGCAAGTATGTACTACATAGTTAAAAGATGCAGGCTCATCTGCCTGTGCCTAGGATCTGAAAAAGGAAGAAAAAGTTAATTAAGTTTTACATGGCTCCTTCTGTTTTCCACTAAGACAGGAGAAGGCAAAAGAGTGGGCAAAGGACAGTGCTGGGGAATAACAAAGACTGTGTTTCTGTCATGCTTAGGGGAACAAGGGATGGCAACAGTTTCTCCATATGGAAAGTTGAAGAGGAAAGGAATTTATAATTATGATTGTTCTACCTCGTTATATAAGAAAACTCTAGCTGAATGGGTTTTTTTTCCCATTGTTTCCATCAAGCAGTAAACTTATGTGGGGAAGATCATAACCATAATAAATGCAGTTGACTCTAATTAGAGTTCAGTTCAAAATCCCTTAGCATGTTTGGGGTAAGGATGAGAGTTATTTGAGAAACTGCTATAGGTAGAAAACTAAGTAACAGAAAAATGGATTACATTTATTCATGTCCTTAGTCACATTCATTAAGAGTCATTTTACCATCCTAGCCCATTTTGCCTTTTGTACATTCAGATTAGTCCTGAAAAGCA